TGTCAGCTCCGCCCTGGGGGCTCCCCAGGATAGCCGTGCTGAACCTGTCTGAGGTGTGCGGGGGAAAGGACCTTCACAACGGGGTGGAAGATCTTCCCAAACCCTGGCGTCTTACCAGTGCTGGTTTCCAAACCCGGGAGTGTCATGTTAAATACAAACCTAAGAAACCCCCTAATGTTTCCCCCGAGCGGTACCGGACGGTGCCCACAGTGAGGCTCTCGCTCTGGCCTGCCAGGGGCAGTGCATCCCTCGGCTGTGTGGAACCGGCGGGTGGTGATGCTGTGCGGTGGAAATCGTCTCTCCCAGGAGTGCCAATGGTCTTCCCACTGCTGGCACGGCTTGTGCTGCCCAGGGCTGTCCTGAATGCTTTGGGAGCTCGTGGGATGCACGTGCAGCCTCTTGCTGGGGTGCACGAAGGTTCACAGTCACATAGCATGGCATGGTGTGTGCCACAGCACAGTGCTGGCTCTGCCAGCACCTTTCCCTGGCTACGGCTGATACAGGGCACGTAACTGTGGTACTTGCACATGTAGTCCAACAGCTATTGCTGTGGGGTGATGGTTGTATGTGTGTATATGTATTAATTATTTCCTAGTTTGCTGAATGTGAAATTAATGGAAGGAGTTTCGGTATTGCTAATGAGTCTTTGTCGTCCATTTGGTATATTGTCATCACTAGATGAGTTTCTCTAGCAGTTGCAGAATAACTGGGATGTGATGTCCTGGAGTGTGTCCAGTAAAGGGCTGATGATTGAGACACTGCAGCATCTGTCTTACAAAGAGAGGCTACAAGTTCAGCCTGGGGAAGAGAAGACTTCAGGGCATCTTTTATGAGTGTGTGTGTAGATACCTGATGGAGGGAATAAAGGAGACAGAGCCAGGCTCTTCTCTGTGGTGCCCCATGGTGGGGCTAGGGACATTGGGCACCCACAGGAGGTTCCATTTGCATGTTAGAAAACACTTGTTTATTCTAAGGTGGTCAGGTGCTGGCACAGGTTGCTCACAGAGGTTGTGTAGTCTCTGTCCTTGGAGATACTGAAACCTTGTCTGGATGCAGTGCTGGGCAGTCTGCTCTGGCTGACTATGCTGCAGCAGGGCTTGCCCAACAGCTTCATGTCTTTTATGCGTTTGGCTCATGTTGTCTGAACAGAATGAAACACATACACATTATAAACTGGGTGCCCTTCATTGCTGAGTGTTGACTGTTTCATGCACTGTCATGTGATTAAGAAAAAGATATGGGATGCAGATTGGATGTCGTATTGAGCTAGTGACTGTTACCTTCTCCAATTCCACGTACCCCTGTGTGCTGGTTTGAAAGCAAACCACTGAGAGACTCCAAGTCAGAAGTACAATTTAATAGGAAAAACAAAACAATAGCAAATGCAACAGTACAAAAAGAAACCACTGACAGAGTCAGAAAGTAACCTGACAACCTGTCAGTCAGGGTGTTGGCAGTAGTCTGATTAAATGGTGGCTGCAGTCCTCCCGGAGCGATGGGTCTGTTGGAGCAGTGATCCCGCAGATCCGGTCCTCTCCTGAAGGTCCAGTGGCAGCTCTTGTCCTCTGGGAATCCATCAGGCAAAGGGCTCCTGTGCTGATCCAAACCCCAGCTTGGACAAAGGGACAGATGCCTACTCAGCAGGTTTGCTGATGACACAAAGCTGGGAGGAGTGGCTGGTAGCCCAGAGGGCTGTGCAGCCCTTCCGAAGGACCTGAACAGGCAGGAGAGATGGGCAGAGCAGAACCTTATGAAATTCAACAAAGGGAAGTACAGGATCCTGCACCTGGGGAAGAATAACTCCAGGCACCAGTATAGGCTAGGGGCTGACCTGCTGGAAAGCAGCTCTGCGGAGAAGGACCTGGGGGTGCTTCAGCATGTTTGCTGATGACACAAAGCTGGGAGGAGTGAATGGTAGCCTAGAGGGCTGTGCAGCCCTTCCGAAGGACCTGAACAGGCAGGAGAGATGGGCAGAGCAGAACCTTATGAAATTCAACAAAGGGAAGTACAGGATCCTGCACCTGGGGAAGAATAACTCCAGGCACCAGTATAGGCTAGGGGCTGACCTGCTGGAAAGCAGCTCTGCGGAGAAGGACCTGGGGGTGCTGGTGGGCAACAAGCTGTCCAAGAGCCAGCAGTGTGCCCTTGTGGCTGAGAAGCCAATGGTATCCTGGGGTGTGTTACAAACAGCATTTCCAGCAGGTCAAGGAAGGTGCTCCTGCCCCTCTGTTCAACCCCAGTGAGGCCACAGGTGGAGTGCTGTGTCCAGTTCTGGGCTCCTCAGTACAAGAGAGACATGGAGCTCCTGGGCCAGTCCCAACAGAGGGATACAAAGATGATTAGAGGACCGGAGCACCTCAGTTAATGAGGAAAGGCTGAGGGAGCTGGACCTGTTCAGCTTCGCGAAGAGACTGAGAGGGGATGTCATTACTGTCTACAAGTGTCTGAAGGCGGGGTATCAAGAGGATGGAGCCAGGCTCTTCTCAGTGGTGCTGAGCAATAGGGTGAGAGGCAACAGGCAGAAACTGATGCGCAGGAAGTTCCACCTGACGGTGGCTAGTGCAGAAGCAGATGGAGATGTTAGCTGCACAGCAGCTAGAGAAGGTGTGTGCTAAGACAAGGTCCTGTTCCCACCAAGCCCAAATTCTCCCACTTCCAGAGGGTTACTGCAACTCTATATATGTCCTGGGAAATATAAAAGGTGTTGCACTCTCATGACCTTCAGCAGAGACTCTGCCAGAATGTGCTTCCTGGTGTGTTTTCTTTGGGAATCCAGTGGTACCTATGCCAGCTATGGAATGTGCATGTGTTTGGGTTTTGTTTGTTTTTTAAAAAATGAGTAGCATTATTTGTTTGAGGGTATTTTCCAAACTGAAGTAAAGGATTACTTTTTTATTATG